CGAGTGGTCGCCAGACCGCCTACCGCCAGGTCGCCTAGTCGATACGTATGGTTTTCTTTTTAGATCGTCGCCCGAACGCCTAATCGATATGTACCATTTGCTTCTATTTAGGTAAAAGCGTAGTCACATGTGTGATCTCCAACAATTAAGATTGCCTAGTCGTGAGGTAAGCATGATGATGGCACTACAAAAAATCATGACTTGGTGAAAAAAGAGCACTTATCTCCTTGGAGGGATGGCCATCCATGTGGCCGAGCCAATTACTGTGCTTTGGACAAGGCCTTAGGGAGGGGAAAGGGATCCGGGGGAGCATGTGAGCAATTGTGTTCTCCCGGCGTTTCTAGCTTTTACTGGACTTCGTCCTAGTCTCACCTATCATCGGCCCTGTTGGATGTCCCCTCCCCCACCCCAAGGACATGAGCGCCAAACGGTGCAACAGATTAAGTGAGTCATAAGGAGAACGACAACTCACGGGATGAAACACACGTGAGAACGGTGCTTGTGAATAATGCCAGCGCCATGGGCGGAATCCACTCAAGGAGACCTAAGCCTGGATTTTTCAGAGTGATAAAATGCTATTTGGTCATAACACATCCTAACAACAAAACTGACTCACTACTTCGAAGAAAACAATCTGCTGCTTTCTCAGCATGAATCGAACTCACCCGTAACTTCGACCATACACCACCAAGTTCAGTTTAAGAATGGAACAGCTCATCTAGTGAAACTGAAAGCTGCGATAACGTCATGCTTATCATCTTCAGTCGTGTCAGCAGATACCAGTCGTGGCGGCGCGCGATGGGTAGCCCAGATCCGCTCCGCCGCACTTGGTACCTCCTGAACCAATGTACAACTCGATTAGAGGAGGGAAAGCTCAACTGCGGACAGTTCCAGCTGGTATTTGCGCGCGGCGGCAACGACACGCTCGATCAGACGTCCAGGGACATTTTATTAGAATACTTTATATTTCAAAAAGTATCACAAATCACAACATAGAATGCATTCACATACAACTATTCAAGACACGGTAAGCACAGGCGGGCGAAGGCATAGGCAGGCAAAAGCAAATCGCGCATCTGCGGAAGAAGTACTCCAGTGAAAGAATTAGGCTACTGCTACTTTAGGGCGTGGGTCGCTAGGACAGGAGGCAATTTTTTCGTTCGTGGCGGAACTTTTTTACTGCGGCTACCCCAGGTCCACCCATGATCAGAGGTGAACCTGGGGTTCTCATAACGAAGAATTTTCGCACTGCGAAAAGCTTAAAAGTCGCTTTCTGTCTCGGGGACCCGCACCCGTTGATAGTTGAATTTCGAAGTTCCTGAGTGACCGCTCAAAACATATTGTCAACAGACCAACAGCCAGCCGATAACAACAACACAACAACCAGTTACGTCAATAGACCTCTTACCCCTCCCTCCCCCTCACGCCGATGTCAGACTTCGCGAATCGAATAGGCCAGTGCCGCAACGCGACCGCGGACGCTAGCGAATCGCTCGAAAAGAGTCAGACATCGACCTCAGAAGACATCCAGTTGGAACAAGTGTCAATCGCCCACGTCAGGCTTAATACTCCCGCAAAAATGACCCGTTTATCGATTAGTCTACGCATGATGTAATCAGTCAATCACTTCAATTACAGAAGAACGCTCGACGACGACGATGAAGAGTGACGCTTTCGGTGGGATTTCTTGCTCTTCTTTTCCTTCTTTGATTTTTTCGACGATTTCTCCTTCTTGGATTTCTAAATACACACATCACAACCGTATTTACACGCTTGCTCCACACTCTTATCATATTACACTCACCTTTGACTTATGCTTCCTGCTCTTTTTCGATTCTTTTCGCTTCGCTATTTCATCTTTGAGATAGGCCAGCACAGAGAATCCACTGATTGCTGAAATCTCATAAATTTCTCCCTTAGTTTCCAAGAAACGTTGTGGTTTCAAACTGTTTTTTCATATTGAGACGTTGTGTATCTAGTGGAAGGATGTGGGTCAGGAGGTACAAGTTACAGCACAGAAAAGAAAGGATTCACTATTAAAAAAACCGTTTGGTAACTCACTTTCACTCGTACTCGTTGGTGGAGCCGGCCCAAACACCTCCTCATCGTCTTCAATGTCCATCACCGTGATTGGCTTGGGCTTCGACGGCACCTCTGTTGCCTCCGATTGTTTGTCCTCCTTTGTCTCCTCCTTTGACCCTTTCGGCTCGTCCTTGTCAACTCCTTCTCCTTCTCGTCCTCTTCATCGCTATCGCTCTCACTCTCACTTTCACCGAAAATCGGCGTCAAATATCGATTTTGTAGAGCGTCCGATCTAGTTCTTCATCTTTAGGCTCCTTGGCTTCCTTTTCCAACTCCTCTTCACGGTGAAGCTCCTCTCGCGCTCTCCTTAACCATTTACATAATGACAAAAACTGCAAGAAGAGGTGCCATCTCGTGCCACCCAAGGTTCACAAAACATATTCAGAAAGAACTTATATGTAGTACGAAACATTCAAGAAGCAGACATAGCTTACTAGTGAAGTCGATGCTCATCTACCGGCGATCTAGACCAACCACGTACCTTTGCGCAAGATCGTTCGCGGTCTGTGGTAGGCCCAAGTTCAGTAACGTCTCTTTCTTTGTACTCCTCTGCAAATGTGGCACGCCTACGATCTCAGCTCCAGGATATTGGATTGGGAATGGACGCCTTTGCTAGTGAATTGTGCGGGTACCTGGAACAATTCAGGGAACTCTTGGAAAGCATTAACGTTGAATAGCACAGTTCCTTATAGTAAACTGCAGCTACTGAACAATTCGCAACTAGCCATTCTTCCTAAGAAAAATTTTATCCAGCCTTAAAAAGCCATCATACAACTACTACCTACCACTGGAATGTCGTCCTCGTTCTTTCGCCGAACATTCCCATTTTGACAGCCGCCACTTTGTCACTATCATGCATGCTCGCCTAGAAAACGAAGAAAGACCTAATACTGCAGTTATCACACTCCCTACAGAATGGCAGAACGACAAAAGAACGTCGTTTACCACAGAGTAGAAAAACTGAAAACCCACGGGGCCTGATTGTCCCGTTTCCTTGGCGAACTTGTTCTGCATCATTTCCTGTATAGGCATAGCGAGGCTGGTCTTCGCTAGCGGTTTCATTCTAGCTCGTACCTGAACTTTGCATCAATTCATTAAGAAGCCGTGAAAAAGATGTGAAAGACATCGAAAAGACGCAGAGAATTTGTGGGGGTTAGAGCTGAGACTGGATGTCGTCCAGTGTACCTAGGTTCACTAGATCTGTTCCCCGAGACCACCAAGTTTTCAAGTAGCACTTCGGCAAAGCAAGTCATTCAGCAAGAGCATCCCGGTGAAAAGATAGCCATAAACGTAAGTTCTCTATACAGCCAAAATAGTGCACACATACAGCGCGAAAAACGAGGCTAAGAACGTTCTTAGTCATGAAACCGTAACAGTAGTGGCAGAAACGAAACAACCAACCTCTGGTAACATTCCACGCTCTTCTGCTGTCAATTTTCCTTCGAATTCTTTCTTTTCCGACTCCCATTCCCACACGGACAGTTCCTTCGGTTGTGGTAGCACCAACCCTGATAAATCGGAATTAGTACAATCCTAGCGCAGAAAAGAGATTTCCGGGTTTCAGCCTCTCTATTTTCTAACGCCTGCTCGCTTCTTCAATCGAGGCCACAAAAACCATTTCAAAAGAATGAATTCAGAAGGTGAAAGGCTTTTCCTCGCCCATACCATAACCCTACCGTCGCCGGGATTGACAGCCAGTGAAATAAAACTAAGTAGGTAAGCGAATGATTCTTACCTCTTCGAAGGTATTTCAGAAATTCTTTGAATCGTGCTTGTTTCATCGGTTCATCGGGGAATTCGACTCGATCCTGGATTAACTGACTAAAGTGTAAAACGACGGGTGAGATTTGACGCACAAATTAATCCAACATCAGAATTATGAAAAAAAAGCATAATTAAGACCGTAAATCTTGAAAAGAAATTATTCATGACTGACCTTGCTGCTCTTCCAGTCTTCTGCGTTATCGCTTCTTTCACGCTGATCCCATCGACTTCGATGCCGCTCTAGGCGTTTTCGGTCTTTGTCACTTACCAACTCCATCACGGACACGCGGTCTTCGCCCAGTAACCTTGAGCAGTACAATTGGTTATAGCTCCCTTAAGGCACCTTGGCACGCTGCCCACCCTATTGACCAGTTTCTTCGAAAAACGATAATTTGTTATGTAGGCGCTAAATTAAAGGCGATGTAGGCGGGTGAGCGGTAATGAGATATCAAAGCAGGCCGTTCAAAGGCGCATCTGAAGAGCCATATCCCAGCCGCCGCATCTATCCACTCTAGTATTTCACTCTCCGCAGAGCAGAATAAATATAAGAAAAACAATAGCACGGCAACAAACATACATAAATCGGCTTCTCTACAACCGCGAAGTTGAAAATGTAAAAAATCAACTTACTTCGCTCTTTGAATATTAGTCAGCGTCTTCATGGCATCTTGTAACACTGCTGGCAGCTTAGCTGACTCCAAGGCCTTCGGACGATGCGCCGGTCGGAAATTCGGAGGTAACCTCGGCGGTGCATAGAACTTGCGAGGATTCAAACGCTGTAATTATAAGATTCACTCCAAGCGACAAACGGCTCCACATAATCAAGTCTGTTCGCAGGTAAGGCTTCAGATAAGGTTTTAACACATTGACGACAACGCGGGGGATATATATCCCGCGCATTGCAGGCCATGTCGGACCGTGCGGGATATATATCCCCCGCACCCATTACACTCATTTTTTTCGCGCACGCCTGATTCTTTTAGAAGTTTCTTGTATTCATTCCATGGAAGAGACCTTGACGTAGCTACAAACATAGTGGCCCTTAGAATGGTCACGTATGCTTTAATTTAGAGGAGGATTTCTGAACCATACGAAATCTTCATTTCAATAAATTTTTCGTTTACTTTTTCTTTTTATTAATGTGAAGATTTAAATAGTAGAAGTAGATAAGGAACCTTAGGG